TTTTTTTTTTTTTGGCTGTTTCAGATGTGAGAGAAATCTGATCCATGTTACTTCATTTTGGGTAGAAGTGGAAGTCACACTTAATAAACACTCATTAAACAAATTTGCTGAATTAACTCTGACTCTCCCAGATAGCTGTCAGCTGGTTTCACAACTGTGATCACATTGCCCAGCACACAGTAGGTGCTCCATGTTTGTTGAATGAAGGAATGCAAGAGTACTTGACCTCTGCCCTCTGTCTTTGTCCCCAGGGCACTGCACTTGGCGGTGATTCATCAGCACGAGCCCTTTCTGGATTTTCTCCTGGGTTTTTCAGCTGGCACTGAGTACCTGGACCTGCAGAATGACCTAGGCCAGGTGAGCCACTAGGGGACAGTATAGGACTCAGGGTCCAGGGTTCTCAGTGCAACCCCTAACTCCTGCCCTCTGCTCCTGCAGACAGCCCTGCACCTGGCAGCTATCCTGGGGGAGGCATCCACGGTGGAGAAGTTGTATGCAGCAGGCGCTAGGTTGTGCGTGGCAGAACGTGGGGGCCACACGGCGCTGCACCTGGCCTGTCGCGTGGGGGCACATGCCTGCACACGTGCGCTGCTCCAGCCCCGCCCTCGGTGCCCTAGGGAAGCCCCCGACGCCTACCTCTCTCACGGCCCTGACTGCACCCCTGACACCAACCACACCCCTGTTGCCTTGTACCCTGAACCCGACTTGGAGAAGGAACAGGAAGAGAGTGAGGAGGACTGGAAGCTGCAGCTGGAGGCTGAAAACTATGAGGGTGAGGGCCCTTAGTCTCTGGGGAGGACTCAGGCTCCCAGGCAAGTCGGGAGCACCCTGCTCTGGGCTCTGACGCAAGGCCCAGACCCTTGGGAGATCATATGTAGGCTTCAGGGACCTGGGTAGCAGGACCAAGGACCTCCACGCAGGCCCCAGATTACTGAGAATTGGACATGTGGGATCCAGGACCCCCACCTGGAGGCCCCAGACCACTTGGGACCCAGGCCTGTCACCAGTAGATGCAGAGCTGCCAGGATCCAATTGTTGGGCCCAGGCTGGTATTGGGCCCACCTACAAGGAGCAATCCCAATATCCCTACCCTCACCTACAAACCACAGGACCCTGCTCACCCAAGACTAGGGAAATCAAACCCCAGGCCCTCTGTGAAACTCTGGCATCCCAGGTTCCCAGTAATGGGCAGCAGGGTGGAAGGATAGCTCTCCTCAGCCAGGCCTCATGGGAAAAAGGACCCATCTATCCACGGCCCTGGCATCTGAGTCTCAGCTCTTCCACCCATAAGCTCAACTACCTGGGACCCGGCCCCTCCACAAATGGACTGAGATCATCTAGGACCCAGTGTTCAGGGCCCACCCCCCTAACCCCCAGGTCACAGGCCCTTCAGCTACTCAGGACCAAGGTCCTTTGTGAAATAAGACCAGGAACTCAGGTCTCCTGGCCCCAAAACTCAGGCCTCCCGTCCAAAGACCCCAGGCTCTTTACCTATAGGCCCCAGTCATCCCACAACCCAGGCATTGG